TATATATATATATATATATATATATATATATATATATATATATATATATATATATATATATATATATATATATATATATATATATATATTTGGGCTAGACAATTATTCAAAATCACCATTGAGAGCCTATAATCGATCAAACCTTTTGGATTTATTTCCTTATCACGTGTGGTCACGTGACCCTGCTCTGTTTTTACTTTGTGTCAGCACAGCCTTCATGCTCTTTATACTCCTCGCCGTGGTTGACACCGACACTCTTAAAATGTAACTACACGTTGTGACGATGCATAGCACAAGTTCTATGATTGGCTTGATAGTGGTGATGAGCGTGGGCAGCACGGAGAGCAGCGAGCTCATTGAAGCGAGCGTTTACAAGTGTGTCCAGCCCTATGGAGGAGCTCCAATTTACTTTATGATCAAAGTTGTTGCATGTCTGCGTGTTCTCGTCTCCGAATGAGCAAGTTTAAGCTACATTAAGGTAGCGTTCAGAAAAAACAAAACCTTGAGACAGTATATATTTTTCATTGCATTAAAACTCTTATTAACATTAAAGTATTTGTTTACAGAAGATGCAAGAAATGCACGTATATATCCATTTTAAAATATGAAACTGTAAAAACGTGCGTTTGCCCTGTTATAAGCTGTAATATTACTGCATCATTCACTCGACTGACTTTAGGTAAAAGCCACTAAACTCCAAATCCTGTGTAATCCAAAATGCTTCTGTCCCTGAAATGACACCAACAGCCAGCTAACAATAACACAACACGAGTAATTTGACAGCTTCATTGATAGGTCTGTAAAATCTTTTCAGCAGATAATCTTTTGAACAGACAGCGCTCCTGCGGGGAGACGACACAAAAGCTGCGAACACACTAAAAAAGGAAGCAGGTGACTAATGCGCACTTCAATACTGAAAGTAAAAAGCACTTTCATTCTGGTAGACGCACGCTTCCTGTACTCTCTAGAGACCATTCAACAAAAAACAATGTTGATTTGTTGTTGGGCCTTTTTTATAGAGTTTGTTTAAAAAATATAGTCTGCATTCAGGCGAGAGTATGAACGCGACTAGATTACACACCATCCCTGACAACAAACCATCAGTCATTTAAAAAAATAAATGTATATTTAGTAAATTGGCTGATTGTTTAATTAGAAACATTTCATGTGGGGCCTTTAAAGCTGCATTTTGTAAGCTCAAACGGCGCTATAAATGCTATTTTAGTATACGAAAACTGAGACAAAAAAGGTCAAAATAAATGAAATAATTAATCATTAGCCACAGCCATATCACCCTGCAGCCCCAAGCCCAAGCATACTCACTGAAGCTATGCAGGGCTGAGCCTGGTTAGTACCTGAATGGGAGATGACACATGAGAAAATTAGGTTTCTGTAGGTAGTGGTGTTAGTGAGGCCAGCAGGGGGCGCTCAAACTGTGGTCTTTGTGAGTCCTAATGTCCCAGTATAGTGCAGGGGACACTACACTGTCAGTGAGCGGCGTCTTTCTGATGAGTAGTTAAACTAAGGTCCTCACTCTCTGTGCTCATTAAAAATCCCATCTTGTAAAAGATTAGGAGTGTAGCTCTGGTGTCCTGCCAAATTCCTTCCATCTGCCCTAACGCTCCATTCACACGGGGCGTCAGCGTCAACGCTTCCCATTCACTTTGAAAGGGTGACGTCAGGCGTTGACGAACTGCATTGTGGATCCGTCGGCGCCGCTTCAGAGGCGTTGCTCGCTGCAGAAGTTGGGACAAGCTCAACTTTTCAAGCGCAGACGGGAGCGTCAGCCAATCAGATCGCTGTATGCAAATACACCAGCTAGACAGTGGCCTATTGCTAACTGAATTCCATTGGCTGACGATTCAATGACGATTGCTTCAGCCCCAACTTCAGACACGCCTTCAGTCAAGCGTTGACACTGAAGCCCCGTGTGAATGGGGCGTTACCCTTATCAATATATTGAAACGTGTTTGTTAGTAATAAAAATTCGTAATGGATCTCCTTCCGGGTGCAGTGATTCTGCCGTTGTGGCTGGTGCATTCTGGGAAATTTTCTTACCCCTTGGTTTCAAGTGTGGTCCTGAAAAATCTTCGAAAGACTATTCACCCCTTCCCCTTAGCCCTACGCCTTCAAGCTTAAGAGAATAAGGACGCCCTTACCCCTTGGTGTGAAAGCGCAAAACGTTAAAATAAGGGCAAGGGCTAAGGGGTAGAATTGGGATTGGGTCTTAATGACCTAATGGCCAATATTATAAAAGAATTTCTAAATATATGTTTCCTGCAAATAGGAACTCTAAAACGACATCCTGATGGCAGCAGCTGAAACACAGAGTACAACGGGTGATCCGGAGTGCATAGGATACCCTGAGCTCTCTTCAAAACACAGTCATGATAAATTACTATTGGACCAGTTGCCTGCCACCTTCACCAGGCTACTCCACCTGTTCTTATTTGACACACTCAGATTACCGTACCAAGCTATAATACAGAACGACAAAACGGATTCAATAAATTGTGTATAGAACAGCGTCATCATAGAGGTACAAACCTAAAACAATCTTGTCCATGTGAAACAAAGTAAATCTAAACAAAATCAATCGAAATGTGTTGACAAAATAAAAACTAAACTAAGGCTGCTTTCACACCTGTGAATCGATTCAGTTGTTCTATAACAGAGATTACAAACGCTACATTGTTGCTCTTTGCTCTCGGTGCGGTTCGCTTTCACACTGCAAAGTTTCTAATCGGACCAAAAGAGCTAAAACAAGTCACGTGTGAGTAAACTCTCCTCACATTGGTCAGAGTGTCAGGGTTTATTTTGCAGAGTCCCGCTCAGCTGTCAGGAGAGGTGGTGGTTTGGTGGTGTTTGACAAGGTGCGTGCAACGTGTCTGAAGAGTGAGGAGAGATGCGGTGGGGAGAGGTGAGAAGGGTGCGCGACGTATTTGAGGACCAGGAGGGAGACGCGAGATTAACGGGAGATTATCATTCGTTTGCAGGCATCCGGAGACTCACGAAACTTCCCGCCCTACTCATAATTCTCTCTTCATATAGCCGTATGCCTATTACATATCCATAAAACACAGTGATACACCCGTGCTCGGATGCAATCGATCTGCTCCAGAGTTCGTTTCAATCGAGCCGAGACGACCTCATTCAAGTGATCTCGGAGTGATTGATTTGGCGTGGATCCTAGAGCGATTGGCGGTTTCACATATGTCAAACGAACCACGCTAACTGGGCAAATGAGACAGGCTCCCAAACAAAAGTGTAGGTGTGAAAGCACTCTAAAACTAACAAATGAAACGAACTAAAACTAACTTGATTTTACAGCAAATTTAAAAATAGTACCAAAATAAAAGTGTATTTAATAAAATGTTAAACTGCACTGTAAAAAATGTATTTGCTGTTTGTTTAATCTACGTATTTAAAATGAGCTGAAACAACAGAATTCTTGAGGTTTTCTTAGGAGAATTTATTGTTCAATCCATTAAAAATTGCAAAAACTAATAAGTTAACTTAATTCCTTCATGTTGTCCCAACACAAACAGATTGTGTGGAACCCAGTATTTTTCACAGTGTATAATAACCTATAATAAGATCAATCCTGAGGGCGATGCAGTGGCGCAGTAGGTAGTGCTGTCGCCTCACAGCTTGAAGGTCACTGGTTCGAGCCTCGGCTCAGTTAGCGTTTCTGTGTGGAGTTTGCATGTTCTCCCTGCATTCGCGTGGGTTTCCTCCGGGTGCTCCGGTTTCACCAACAGTCCAAAGACATGCGGTACAGGTGAATTGGGTAGGCTAAGTTGTCCGTAGTGTATGAGGGTGTATGTATGTTTCCCAGAGATGGGTTGCAGCTGGAAGGGCATCCGCTACAAAAAACATATGCTGAGTAAGTTGGTGGTTCATTCCGCTGGGATGACCCCAGATTGATAAAGGGACTAAGTAGTAAATTATCAGTACATGTTTATTCTGAAATTGAACTGAACCAATTACACTGAAATACATGTATACATATACGCTTAATATGCACTACCGCAAACCATCTGCAAATCATCCTAAAATGAGCAGGCACCCAATATACAATTTAAGCTCGGCTGTTACTTTAAGCATGCATCAGTGTGCAATTTTCTCCAGGAAAAGCTATTCGAAATTGCCTTTAAATGAGCTTAATCGTCTAATCTCTCCTGCTTTTTTACTGCTGTAAATATATATGTCTCTGCAGCAAATGTCATGATTTATGAAGTGCAAATGTGTAATATTAAAAGCTGCTCTTTACACGGCCACTGTCAGGTTTAATGGCAGTGAATGGACAGCCTTTTAACTTTGCTGTTGTTGACTTTGGAGTGACACGTGCGGAGAACAGAGGAGAGCCGGGCACACAAAGGCCATCCCGCATCTAAAGGTGTCAGTGGGAGAGCTGGCTTCCAAATGTCAGCTACGTGAGGAACATAAGAACAGGTTGTAACTCGGGTACTACAGTGCTCAATGTTGGCAAGGAGGAACACCCATATCACGCAAGATTACACATCAGAAGCTGCACAGTCTACCTGCTTTCTGAACCTATGTTTTGGTAATGCCATTTAATAGAGGGTACTCTAGGGCCATGTGTGTATAGGGCTGCACAATATATTTGGAAAAAGTCCCGTTACTGTGATAGTAGTATATGCTAGGGCTGCACAATATATTGAAAAAAGTATTATTATTGTGATAATAGTATCTGCTAGAGCTGCATAAAATATCAAAAAAGTATCGTTATTGTGATAATAGTATATGCTAGCGCTACACGATTTATTAAAAAAGTATCGTTATTGTGATAATCGTATATGCTGAGGCTGCACAATATATTGGAAAAAGTATCGTTATTGTGATAATCATATATTCTAAGGCTGCACAATATATTGGAAAAAGTATCGTTATTGTGATAATCATATATTCTAAGGCTGCACAATATATTGGAAAAAGTATCGTTATTGTGATAATAGTATATGCTAGTGCTGCACAATTTATTGAAAAAGTATCGTTATTGTGATAATCGTATATGCTGAGGCTGCACAATATATTGGAAAAAGTATCGTTATTGTGATAATCGTATATGCTAAGGCTGCACAATATATTGGAAAAAGTATCGTTATTGTGATAATCGTATATTCTAAGGCTGCACAATATATTGGAAAAAGTATCATTATTGTGATAATCGTATATGCTAGTGTTGCACAATGTATCGATAAAAATACCGTTTTTATAATAATAGTATATGCTAGTGCTGCACAATTTATCGAAAAAGTATTGTTATTGTGATAGTAAATGCTAGTGCTGCACAATTTATCAAAAAAGGAATCGTTATTGTGATAATAGTATATGCTAGCGCTGCACAATTTATCAAAAAAGTATCGTTATTGTGATAATAGTATATGCTAGTGCTGCACAATTTATCAAAAAAGTATCGTTATTGTGATAATAGTATATGCTAGTGCTGCACAATTTATCAAAAAAGTATCGTTATTGTGATAATAGTATATGCTAGTGCTGCACAATTTATTGAAAAAGTATCGTTATTGTGATAATCGTATATGCTGAGGCTGCACAATATATTGGAAAAGTATCGTTATTGTGATAATCGTATATGCTAAGGCTGCACAATATATTGGAAAAAGTATCATTATTGTGATAATCGTATATGCTAGTGTTGCACAATGTATCGATAAAAATACAGTTTTTATAATAATAGTATATGCTAGCGCTGCACAATTTATCAAAAAAGTATTGTTATTGTGATAATAGTATATGCTAGTGCTGCACAATTTATTGAAAAAGTATCATTATTGTGATAATAGTATATGCTAGTGCTGCACAATTTATCGAAAAAGTATCGTTATTGTGATAATCGTATATGCTACGGCTGCACAATATCGGAAAAAGTATCATTATTGTGATAATAATATATGCTAGTGCTGCACAATTTATCGAAACAAGTATCGTTATTGTGATAATGGTATATGCTAGTGCTGCACAATTTATCGAAAAAAGTATCGTTATTGTGATAATAGTATATGCTAGCGCTGCACAATTTATTGAAAAAGTATCGTTATTGTAATAATCATATATGCTAAGACTGCACAATATATTGGAAAAAGTATCGTTATTGTGATAATAGTATATGCTAGGGCTGCACAAATTTATAAAAAATATTGTTATTGTTATAATAGTAGATGCTAAGACTGCACAATTTATTGAAAAAGTATCGTTATTGTGATAATAATATATGCTAAGACTGCACAGTTTATCGAAAAGTATGGTTACTGTGATAATAGATACAATAATCAGGATATATTCTAGTGCTGCACAATACATTGAAAAAGTATCGCTATTGTGATAATAGTATATGCTATACAATATATCAAAAAGTATCATCATATTAAAAAAAGTATCGTTATTGCAATAATAGTATATACTAGGGCTACAAAATATATTGAAAATGTATCATTATTGCGATAATGGAATGCTAAGGCTGCACAATATATTGAATAAAGTACCGTTATTGTGAAAACAGTATCAGCTAAAGCTGCATAAAATATCGAAGAAGTTTTAATCGTAATAATACCATTTTTATTTAATTAGCTCAGAAAAATATATATTACCTGTTTATTTTAGTAGGATCATAACATAAACATATATCTTTTGAACTGCTGCTGAAATTGTGTTTCAGTCATATCATTGGAAATACACTTATTGCAAGATTCAACAAGAATATCAAATTTTTTTCCCATTCATTATTCATTCATTCATTTTCTTGTCAGCTTAGTCCCTTTATTAATGCGGGGTCACCACAGCGGAATGAACCGCCAACTTATCCAGCACATTTCTACGCAGCGGATGCCCTTCCAGCCACAACCCATCTCTGGGAAACACACTCATTCATACACACACTCATACACTACGGACAATTTAGCCTACCCAATTTACCTGTACTGCATGTGTTTGGACTGTGGGGGAAACCGGAGCACCCGGAGGAAACCCACGCAAACGCAGGGAGAACATGCAAACTCCACACAGAAACGCCAAGTGAGCCGAGCCGAGGTTCGAACCAGTGACCCAGTGACCTTCTTGCTGTGAGGCAACATCACTACCTACTGCGCCACTGCGTCGCCCTCATTCTTTGCCAGTATCGTGTAATTATAAAAGTGTTTTGAGCAATCTGAAAGTGCCCACCCTTCTCTCAAAAATACCTATTAGCACTTTAGTGTTTTACTTCATTTTAATATACTGTTTTAAATTGAGTACAAGTATGATACTGTAGCTGATGTAATATTACTGGTAATTTCTGTATTTTTTATGACGTGCTTTTGGTCATACGTGTGAACTGAATGTTGTGATGCCTGGGCAGCTATTTACCATGACATTCTGAATGGACAGCTGGCTAAAAAGTGATTTAAGTGACTAGCTGTGTTCCCCTCCACCTATTTTTAGGTGCATTTTGAAATATAGCATAAAAAATGCATAATGGAAATGGCAGGATGTGCATACATATTGAAAATGCACATAAAAAACTTATGCGCACAACCAAGTAGGATAAACTTTTTCTCTTATAAGAGAAAACGCGTAATGGAAACACCTTTCCAAGACTGTATATTCATGCAATGAATTCATTTAGAAACATTTCTGACCTCGTTTTGTAGTTCGTCATCGCTTCTTGTGGAGGCCAGCATTTCGAAAAGAGAGGTGGAGAGCTCCTCGGCACTGGAAGACACCATATTTCCCTCATTCAGGTATTTCTCCACCTCCTGTCTCAGAATGGAACCGTCTGTGTTCCTCTGCTCCAGTTCTTCTGCAGAGTAAACACCTCCAACTCTTCTCTCACCAACATTATTATTGAGAAAGCTGTGAAAGTCCACCGTCTGTTCCATATCAGTCCCATCTGACCAGGGAAAATCATCTTGAGCATCCAGCACATAGGTGTCAAATGAGAAAGCAATGTTTCGGCCAAAGACAGAACCACGATCCGGCGTCTTGAGGGAACTCTGCGTTTGTATGAAAGCCTCCACCTGAGATTCTCCGATCTGAGCCACTAAACGGCCCACCGCTGCACAGGACAATTCAGCAGCAGACGCCGGGAACGGTCCAAACATGTGTTTTATGGCCCGGGTTTCCTCATGACCGATTTGGTCTTTGTTGTGGAATGTTTTAAACAAGAAGACCCCGGCACTTTCAATGGTGTCTTGTCCGAAATCTGTACCGACTGCAAAAAGAAAACAAACAAATGTTCAATTATTAAAATAATTAATTAAAATTATTGCCATTATTGCCATATTGGCCAATGGCATCAAGATTAAAGACCCTAAGCTGCTGAACGAAGGACATTTAGGCAATAATTTTAGTTCGTTTTGTATGTACACCATACAGTTTCAGTTAGTTCTAGGTTTTTAAAAACTCTCATTTATAGTTTTATTTCAGTTAACGAAAAATATTTTCAATTTTAATTTTTGTTTTTTTTTCATTTGTTTTCGCTAGATCGCTATAATTTTCGCTATAATAACCTTGCTTCACTCAGGTGAGTGGGTTTGACAAACCACCTGTAGGAGACACACTCTTTACTCTCCATATGCACCAGACACTTTCCTTCAAAAACTCTGTTACAAAGATAGAAAAATAATGAATGAATGAATGAATGAATGAATGAATGAATGAACAAATTACTAAATGAATGAATGAACAAATGAATGAACGAATTACTGAATGACTGAATAAATTACTGAATTAATTAATTAATTAATGAACAAACGAGCGAACGAATGAAGGAACAGATGAATGAATGAATGAATGAATAAATGAATGAACCAACAAATGAATAAATGAGAGAACAGACGGATAAATGAATGAACGAATTATTGAATGAATGAACAAATTACTGAATAAATGAATTAATGAACAAATAAATGAAAGAATGAATGAACGAACAAATGAATAAATAAACAAACAAACGAATAAATGAATAAACGAATTACTGATTGAATGTACAAATTACTGAATGAATTAATTAATTAATGAACGAACCAACAAAGGAATGAATGAATGAATGAACAAATGAATAAATGAATGAATGAACGAACAAACAAACAAACAAACAAACAAACGAATGAATGAACAAATTAATAAATAAACAAACAAATGAATAAAACAAATTACTAAATGAAGTACTGAATGAATAAAGGAATAAACAAAGGAACGAATGAAGGAATAAATGAGCAAGCGATTAAATAAATGAATTAACAAATTACTGAATGAATTAACAAATTACTGAATTAATGAACAAAGGAACGAATGAAAAATGAATGAATGAATTACTGAATGAACGAATGAATGAACGAATGAACAAATGAACGAATGAATGAATGAACGAACAGACTGATAAATGAATGAATGAATGAATTATTGAATGAATGAACAAATTACTAAATAAATGAATTAATGAACGAACGAACGAATGAATGAATGAATGAATGAAATAACAAATAAATAAATAAACGAACGAACGAATAAATGAATGAACAAATTACTGAATAAATTAATGAATTAATGAACGAACCAACAAAGGAATGAATGAACTAATGAACGAATGAATGAACAAATGAATGAATGAATGAATGAACGAACAAACGAACGAACGAACAAACAAACAAACAAACAAACAAACAAACAAACAAACAAACAAACAAACAAATAAATGAACAAATTAATAAAGAAACGAACAAATGAATAAAACAAATTACTAAATGAAGTACTGAATGAATGAAGGAATAATTAAAGGAACCAATGAAGGAATAAATGAGCAAGCGATTAAATAAATGAATTAACAAATTACTGAATGAATTAACAAATTACTGAATGAATGAACAAAGGAACTAATGAAAAATGAATGAATGAATTGCTAAATTAATGAATTGCTGAATGAATAAACGAATGAACAAATGAATGAATGAATGCATTGCTGAATGAATGAATGAATGAATGAATGAATGAATGAATGAATGAACATACGAATAAATGAATGAATGAATGAATGAATGAATGAATGAATGAATGAATAAATGAATGAATGAAGGAAGATACTAAAGCAACGTTTCATGGCATCTACAGTCCATAAATCTGCTCTCTGGTGATTTGAAGTGTTTCTTTCATCCTCATTTGTAAGTTGCTTTAGATAAAAGCATCTGCTAAATGAATAAATGCAAATGCAAAAAGAGTCTGTCACACTGGCAATGCCGGATGCAAATTTTTCAATCTTGGGTGAGCCATTCCTTTAATGCATGTTATGCCCCATATTCAAGCTATCACTTACTGGATGCTATCAAGAACGCAAAGAAGAAAGACAGGAAGAGGCTTTGCAAAATGGCTCGGAGGAGACTTGTGTGACTCAGATATATAACACCTGTATTTGAGTCATGGCATGAGAACATTTAGTGCTCAGTGCTCAAAACATTTTTTGTGTAG